GTTCTTAGAAGTCAATCACCTCGCTACAATTTTTAATGAACTCTAATTTAAACATTGTAATATTCATTTTAATTTGCAGGATGCAATGTGAAAGTATTGATATCAGGGCTTAATTAGTTCGCATTATTTATAATAATCAAATCTACGTACAATCCATATTTCTTTGGTAGTTGCAACAAAGAGCGGGCAAGTGGCTAATTAAATATTCAGGCATAAGACAATTTAGTTCTCACTTTGGTCATTATATTATACAATATTAATATAATGTAATAAGCAACTATTCTTCTACATCTATTTCATTTCACCAAACACTGTCCATTTGCACTTGACTTTGCACAGTATTGATCTCTTGCTAATATGGCAGATGCAGCGGTGGAGTTCCTGCTGACTAAGGTGACGGAGGTGCTGACATGGTACACGGATCTGATAACGGGGGCAGAGAACGACCTGCAGCAGCTGAACAATGAGCTGGGCATGTGCAAGTCCTTCCTTTTGGACGCCGCCAGAAGGCCCAAGAAGGAGGAGTTTTTCCGGGAGATTGAGAGGCAGATCCGAGAGGTGGTCTACGATGCCGACGACACCATCGACTCCTGCCTCACTCAGGCCAACAGGGCCAAGGCCAGGGCCAAATCCAAGTCCAATAAGCTCTCCAAGTGGGGGAAGAAGGTCGTCGACAAGGTTGACATCAGCTTGCCTCTTCAGGTCAAGGCCCTGAGGACCGACAAAGTGGCCCCCGTCCTCGAAAAGATGAAGCTCTACCTGGAGACCCACGACAGCGGATCCGGCTCCTCCGGCACCACCTATGATGAGTCTCCCTCACATGCGTTTGAGGTTAATTTTATCCTATTCCATTTGCCCTTTTTCGACTTCGCTAGCTCTAGTTGAAAAGTTGTGATTCACATTGTCGAATGTTACTATGTTAATTGCCGAATTAATGCAAAACATAGACCAAACAGAATCACTATTAATTATTATGTGGGGCTATCTGCAGCTGCCGTCATTCCGGAAAGACAATGTGGTAGGTCTGGAAGACGAGGAAGAAAGGATAGTGAATTGCCTGCTGGAGCCTTGGCACGAGCTGGACATCATCCCCATCATCGGCATGCCCGGCCTTGGCAAGACAACTATCGCTTACAAGGTATACGAAAGCCAAGTGATCCGGCGAGAGTTCCCCGTGCGCATATGGGTGTACGTGACTCAGGTCCTTAACCGCAAGGACGTTCTCCTCACCATCCTCAAGGACTTCACTAGCCAGGACCTGTCCGCCTGGACGGAGCACCAGCTCACCCAGGAGGTCCGCCGGCGCCTCACCGGTGCCGGCCGCTTCCTCCTCGTGATGGACGATGTCTGGAGCGTCGAGGTCTGGAACGCCATAAGCGATGTCCTCCCGATGCGCAACGACCGCGCAAAAGTCCTTATCACCAGCCGTTACACAAAAGTCGGGGACCACGCCAACCCGGGTCGGGACCTTCTCCAGCTCCGGCGAATGCGTGAGGACGAGAGCTGGAGGCTCCTCCGCCTCCAGGTGTTTGGTCGGCAGGATTACGACTGCCCCAAGCCCCTGCTCAACACCGGCAGACTCATCTCCCAACAGTGCAAGGGCCTCCCCCTCGCGGTCGTTGTCATTGGTGGTGTGCTGCTCGACCACCTCAAGAAGACGAGGAACCTTAACCTCGTCCGCAACGAGTGGCTCGAGGTGTCAAACAACGTGGGGGAAAACGTGAAGAACAATAAGGATGTCAACGTGCGTGAGATTGTTGAGATGAGTTACAAGAGGCTGCCCGATTACTTGCGCGACTGCTTCGTCTACTTGGGGGTGTTCCCGGAGGATTACAGGATCCCGGCCCGCACGCTCACTCATCTGTGGATAGCCGAGGGCTTTGTCAGGGCAGAGGAGGGGAAGAGTCTGGAGAAGACTGCACGGGATTATCTGCAGGAACTCATCGACCGCAACCTGGTGCAGGTGACCGAACGGAATCCCAACGACGAGGTCAGGACGTGCCAGGTTCATGACTTGGTTCGTGCGCATTGTACGCTAAAGGCCGCCGACAAGGAGCTCAATCTGTACCAGGAGATAAAATTGTCGAACGAGGGTGTCTTCACGACTTCAGACATAGCGAAATGCCGGCGCTTGTGTATTCACGCCGGCCTCCCAGAGTTCCTCTCCAGACGGCAAAAGGGTCCACGCGTGCGTTCCTTTCTGAGCTTCAACAAAGCTCCCGTCGACCTCGACGCCAAGGACACGCCTGTGATTGCGGACTTGTTCGACCTGCTCCGTGTGCTGGACACGTCGTCCATCAAGTTCCAGCGCTTTCCAGAAGGAGTCACGAAGCTGATGCATTTGAGGTACATCACCATTTCGGTTGAGGATGCCGACGCCCTCCCGCCAGCCATTTCCAATCTTTTGAACCTGCAAACGCTCGTCGTCAACACCAGCTCCAACTTCCTCACGATCGAGGCCAACATATGGGCCATGACTCAGCTTAGGCACATAATCACGAAAGCCGCCATCATACTTGACGTCAAGGGGGGTGAAGGTGAAGCAGGGGAGAATCTCCAAACGCTCAGCAGGTTGGCCCCCGACTACTGCACGGAGAAAGTCTTCGATAAAGTGCGCAACTTGAAGAAACTGGGCATCCGCGGAAGATTAGCTATTCTTTTCGGCGTGAAGAGGTCCCTCGAAGAACTGCGCCTCCTGGAGAAGCTGAAGCTTGTGAACGATAAATCCGTCTCGGATCGGATATACGTCTTTCCGGAGTACAATTTTTTCCCGGCGGGCCTAAAGAGGCTGACGATAACGTCCACGCACCTGGACTGGACACATATGTCGAAGCTGGCAAGGATCAACTCCCTTCAGGTGCTCAAGCTGAGAGGGAAGGCGTTCGTGGGGCGAGATTGGAGGGCAGTCGGGCACGGATTCCTCAATCTCCACTACTTGCTGATTCAGGACACAGATTTAGCAGTGTGGGATGTCACACCTGATTTCTTTCCCAGTCTCAGGACGCTTGTGCTTAGGAGCTGTGACAAGTTGGTGGAAATTCCAGAGGGTGTGACTGAGAGCCTGGAGATATTGGACGTGGATGGTGTGTCCGCATCAGCTGTCAACTCTGCCAGGGATATTGAGATGCGAAAAGCGGCATTGAAAGGACAATGTGAATCCAGGTGGGAGAATAATTTCAAGCTCATTGTTGGTCTAGGATGTCAGGGACAATCAAAAGCCTGATCTAAGGTACATTTATGCCTTGCTGATTTAATTCATTGCAGTCACATGCTTTCTGTCTTAGGTTAAGTAAGGATGTTTCCCTTTTCGTCCAAGATAAAATTTAGTTCACTATCTAACCATATATTTCTTCAATTAGCATATACCTGGACCAGTTCATACTAGGAAGGAGACTGAATGTGATCTTTCAAAAGTCAAAATGATGATGTTCTCACCTATTTATTACATCTTCTTTCACAGTTCTAAAGGAAATGGGAAAGATGGATTATAAAACAGAGATATCATCAGTGAAGTAAAAGTATAGGAAGTGTAAAGATTAATTCATTTAACTTTTGAATTATTATTTGAAAATTATTAGAATAGAAAAGTTTCCGTTTCGTTTTTGAGAAAGCAATCTGAGTTCAAATATGAGAAGCTTGGGTCTCTAGTGCTGCAGAGTATTTATTGTTTCTAAGTAGTCACCTGTATTTAGTCTTACTGATTCCTGCAGGGTACATGACACTGAAAAATGAAGTCTAAACAATTTATTAAACTCCGATGCTCATCACCTCCCGCCCTTATGCTTGCCTCCGAGTAACTGCTTGCAGCATTTTCTTTGTGTTCATGATGCTGTTGGACATCAGTGTTGTTCATTTTTGTCTTGTTGCCTTATGCAGTTTGAGGAATTATTAATATGTATGATTCGAGTGTCTTCGATGCTCGTCTTGTTCAATAAACTGTAAGACGTTCCATGTTAATCAATAATGTTGCTTAAATCTTTCTGTTCAATGGAATTACAAGAGAATGATTAATCTCGTTTCGATTTTTCCTCACATTTGTTATGCATTCTATTTTACCATTATTTTAAATTAGTATAATTGAAATATATTTCATCTTTCAATACATGTGGAACTAATAATCATCAGGTGCATCGCAAGTGCAATTGCCTCGTTTAACGCAAAGAAGAAAAAAATCTATGTCGAACCTTTGTGAAGAAAACTCATCCAAGCACATGATTCTAAATAAGTGAAATGGACATTAACCTGCAGTCATTTTCTCTATTCATCTGCATTTGCTTTGCCCAGGCCACAGCCAATAGGCTACATTCACCGCTCTAATCCTTATATGAATGCATTTTACAGGGAGAGACTCCCTGTGTTTGTATAATAATCCAAAATTTCTCTTACATCACATCCTATGGATTTAGCCTTCTTAGAAACCAAAAAGATAAGAACAATAACACAAAAAGAAGCAGAACAATAAACAAACCTATAATGCATACAGAAAACAAATAAACAAAAGCCAATGTGGTATAAGTATAACATTCACATGATGGCCAGCTGTTGGTGATTCCTTTGACCATTTCAATGTCAGTGTGCTCAACATTCGTAATTCATAAAAAGCCAATGTTTCAACGAGGTTGACTTTATGTATACATTTGAATATACACACATTATAATAATATGTACGCACTACGCTTGATGTGTGAACAAAAATTAAATAAGCTGAGCCATGCATATGACAGGATCGTGGGGAAAAGTTTGCCGTTGGTTCAGATGGGAAAATGCAGAACCACTTTCAAAATGTATGATCCTTTACCAACTGCAAAGATAGTTTCTTTTTGGATGTTCTCATCACCAATCAGCACAAAAATCTGCAAAATAAAAGCATAAGGCTACAGTCTCGTCTTTGCAATTCTCTGTTTGTCCACCCTGTAACTCTTCCCACAGACGGTGTTGCTTTTCCGAAACCCATTTTAGTTGTGTGAATCACAGCCAGGGAGAGAGAGAGAGAGAGAGAGATGGCATATGCTGCTGTGGTTTCTTTTAAACATACCATTAAACACCTTCTAAGTTCTTCTCGTATTTTCATTCTTCAAGTTGAAGGAGGAGTTTATCAATGAATTACCCAATGAAAAAGAAAATGATGACGGCAATAATGATGATGATGTCAGATCAATCTTTGATGCTTGTGATGGAGGGAGCAAGACGAAAATGGTTGGATTATCTGATCAGTTTAGTGAAACCAAAGATCGGTTGCTCGTGGGGAAAGACAGGGTATTTTCACTGTGCGGGCTGGCAGGGATTGGCAAAACGGCACTAGCTGCAAAAATTTACAATGATCCAGCAATCGTGAAGGATTTTGGTTTTCGAGCTTGGGTGAACGTGGGAAGTGACTATCAGCTCGATGAAATCGTGAAACAAATTCGAGCGCAAGTGAATTTCGATAGAGATTATTGGATGCATCGCTTCGTGTTGGATAATGTGTGGGACCCACATTTCATTTATGAGTTTCTAGACTCACTTCCACATTTCATTTTTCATTTATGAGTTTTCTAGACCCACTTTTTCGTGAAAAGGTGTTCTCCCGGGAACTTTCTTGTACTGCTCTACTCAAAAAGGCCGGGAAGAAGATTGCTGAGAATTGTGATGGTCTTCCTCTTACAATCGTTACGATTGCTGCCCTCTTATCAAAAACCGATATAAGTCTAGAGCTTTGGGAAAATGTTACAGCGGGAGAAAATTCAGTTTTCACGAATGCGTATGATCAAATTTCCAAGGTACTACTTCCGAGCTATAATCACTTGTCTCAACACTCAAAACCATGTTTTCTCTATATGGGAGTTTTCCCTCAGTATTTCGAAATCCCCTGCGCCAAGCTTATCAAACTATGGAGTGCCGAGGGATTACTCGAGCCTATCAAGCTCGGGACATTGAACGAGTTTGCCTGGAAATATTTGAAGGCCCTCCTCTCAACAAGTCTTGTTTTGGTGTGCAAGAAAACCTCTAGAACTAAAAACTGCCGCCAACATTCTGTCTTTTGCCACCTTTGCAAAAAGCAATTTTTTTCATGTCTTAAACAAGCATGCCGATAGTCTGACGAAAGACATAACTTGTCAAGGTCGATTATGCATGCACAACAACGTTTATTCCACATCAAGGATGTATACAACTCAATGGCATCTATTTCAACTGCACGCTCTCTCTTATGTTTCGGGCCACCTCATCAATACTCGGTCCCCATACCTGCGGATTTGAGTCTGCTTAAAGTACTTGATGCTCTCACGATCTGTTTTTACGAGTTCCCGACACAAGTACTCAAACTAATTAAGGTACCTTGCCGTCACTTATAACGGGAACCTACCTCATTCCATATCCAAACTATGGAACCTTCAATTCTTGATTGTCCACACTAATCTGAATATCAGACCCTTTAGAGTGCGTTCGTTTTTGCCAAATGAGATATGGGACATGAAAGAACTGAAGCATATTCAAGTCACGGGAAGCGATCTACCGGATCCTTGTGGCATGTTTTTACCAAACACTTTTAGACGCTGTACAGAAAATGTTCTGAAAGGGCTCCCTATAGGAATCTGAAGAGACTAGGAATCCGAATTGAATTGACACCATATGCTGGTCTCGCGCAAACCCACAAGATCAATCGTCTCGCCAATCCTAACGGTCCCTCTCTCTACCCTCCCGGTGGCCACTGTCCCACGGCCGGTGATCGAAAACACGTCCTCCACTGCCATCAGGAAGGGCAACTCTGTCTGCCTCTGAGGGATAGGGATGTAATTATCCACCTCGGCCATCAACTGGTAGATTTTGTCCACCCACTCATTTTCTCCCCTCTTAATCCCGGGGTTTGCAGTTAGAGCTTCAAGGGCGAGCAAGGCGGAGCCGGAAACAATGGGGACGTCGTCGCCGGGGAATTCGTACGAGGAAAGCAATTCTCGGACCTCTAATTCCACCAACTGGAGCAACTCTTCGTCAGACCTGGTCTTGCTTGTTCAGGAAGACCACCATATTGGGGACACCGACCTGTTTAGCTAACAAAATGTGTTCTTTGGTCTGCGGCATGGGGCCGTCGGCGCCGGAGACCACCAGAATCGCGCCGTCCATCTGGGCGGCGCCGGTAATCATGTTCTTTACGTAGTCGGCGTGTCCGGGGCAGTCCACGTGGGCGTAGTGCCGGTTCTCGGTCTCGTACTCGACGGTGGCGGTGTTGATTGTAATGCCGCGGGCCCGCTCCTCTGGGGCGGCGTCGATCTCGTCGTACTTTTTGGGGGCAGAGTTGCCGAGGGAGGCGAGGGCCATGGTGAGGGCGGCGGCGAGGGTGGTCTTACCGTGGTCGACGTGCCCGATGGTGCCGATGTTGACGTGGGGCTTCTTCCGCTCGAACTTGCCGCGGGCGGCGCGGACGGTGAGGGAGCGGCGGCGGAGGAGGGAGGGGGGAGCGGCGGCGGAGGGGCGGAGGAAGAGGGTGGTCGGCGAGTGGGTGAAAGCGGAGGACAGAAAGATTTTGGTGGGTTTTAGAGGAGCGTAGTTGGGGAGGGAAGGGTTGGAGGGGTGTGTGGGTTTGGCGAAAGATATGGCGGCGACGAGAGAGGCCATGGCGGCGGGTGTAGAGAGAGACAATAAAAATGTGGATTAGGATTCACTGTGTGCGTGTGTGTATGTTTTTGGTATCTGATGAAGGAAGAAGAAAGGAGGACCTCTCGTCAGTTCTGTGTTCTATCCGATTGCTACCTTCTCTCTAGGCGGCCAGGATAACACTATATTGCTAGGGTGTATGGGGTTTCTGTGCAAGTGCAACCGCTCTCATATTCGGACGCGTGGCAGGATATGTATCGCTACTTAACTTGACTTGCTTTTCTTTTTCTTTTTCCTTTTTACGTTCTCAATCAAAACCATTTTAATAAACTGAGTGAACAGAAAAAACTTCCCAAAAAGTGCATTTAGTGCGCGGGTGGCGCCCATTCCTTGCACTAACAAATCAGGTAATGACATGTGGCAATATCTTTACTACTTGCACACCCAAATTTGCTATAAGTAAAATTAAAATAAAAAGTTTATTTAAAAATACTATAAAACTTAGAAAAATGCAAATAATTAATAAAAATAAAAATAAAAATTATGAGTAATCCACCGAAAGTCTCAGAACAAATAGAAACACTTATGGAAATAATAAAAAAGACTCAATTAGAAACATTTGAAAAATTAGACGAAATAAAAGAAATAATAAAAGATTTACAAGACTCAATATAGATAGATTAACACAGTTATTAGAAAAATGCAATATTGAAGAAACTAGAATGACAAAAATAGATGATGAAGATAAGCAAGGAATAATCTATGGGATAGATAATGAAGATGAAGATGAACCAACCTTTAATATGACTGATCAAAAACCTCATACAACACCGCCATTATCACCAAAACGACCTAGAACAAATAACAATTAAGCATCCAGTTCACAGAATAATTATGTAGAAAGCAGTTATAGAGATTTTATATATAAAAATGATTATAGTTATCATCACGAAAAAATAAAGAAAAATATTCCAGCAGCATATTTAGAAAAAGAAAGAAATTTATCTAATGGAATATTAAATATAGATTGCGCAACTAATGCAGAAGATTTAATAGTCACTTGGACTAATCAATTAAAATTATTAGTTCAAACTAATGATTCTATGATAAACGGAATGACACTAATAGATTTTGTTAACTATATAAGATATAAAACATCTGGAGTACTATTTGATTATATAAAAAATACTCAAATATTATTAAATCTTGAAGCTAACGGTTCAGAAACAGGAACAGAATATAAAATAGGAGCTTTAAAAGAATTAGCAAAAGATTTGTTAAAAGAATTTCTAGGAATTACAGGACAAGAATCAAAAGAAAACACAAAAAGATAAGGTTGTTAGATTTCTAACAAATATGAAGATATGTAATATATGCTACATAGAAAATTTTTATAAAATTAAAGATCGATCAGGACTAATAGAAATAGTGGAAAGTAAAACTTAAATATGAAATGAATAAATACATTCAGAAGAAAAGTAGTGAAACAAAGGAAAAAAAAAATAACTCTAGGAATTTTAGAAAAATATGCAAAATAATATAGGGATGAACTTTGTATAAAAAAATTAGAACACCATGAAATAACTAAAATCAATCCAAGATGTTGTAAGCAATTAGAAAGTGTACCTCAAGAATTTGGTTGTTATAACCCATATAAAAAGAAAAGATATTATAAATGCAATAAGTTTAATAAACGATATAGACCAAGACGATATAAAATATTTAAGAAACCATGGAAACCAAAATATAAAGGAAAGTTTAGGAAACAAGGAAAATACTTAGGAAAATCTAAATATTGTCCTAAAGGAAAAAAGAATTGTAGATGTTGGAAATGTCAAGAAATAGGACACTATGCAAATGAATGTCCTAAAAACATGCCAGAAAAAGAAAGGAAATTAAAAATGATATTCTCTTTAGGATATGAACCTATAGAAGAAGAATATGAAGATGTCGAACTATTAGACTTTGATATATATGATTTAGAATCAGAAACAGATAGTGATTTAGAAACATCTGAATCAGAAAATGAGTAAAAACAGTTCATTTATAAAGGTTAAATTATTCAATAAATTCCTACTAGCATATATAGACACAGGAGCAACAATATGTCTAGCAAAGGAATCAATATTACCTAGTAAATATTGGAAGAAATTAGAAAAACCAATTGTAGTAAGAATTGCAAATAACAAAACAATAAGTATTGATTATAGAGCAACAGACTTAGTATTATTAATAGAAGAAGAACGATTTCCTCTACCAAGTCTTTATAAACAAAATACAGGTCTACCGTTAATAATTGGAAATAACTTTCTGAAGTTATACAGTCTATTTATTTAAAGATTAAATAGTATAAGTCTTAGATGTCCACAACTCGACACACAATCTAGTAAAATAATTACTACAAAAATATATAATACATCTTCTTTCATCAGGGGGGAGATATTAAGAAAAGTTTCATTACAAATTTACAAAGTAATAAGTATAACTTTAGAAGAACATGTTAATCACCTATTAGAAAACATATGGAATCAAAATCCATTGGATCCGAATAAAAACACGAATAACATGATAGTAAAAATAGAACTTATAGATCCTGGCAAAGAAGTCAATGTGCCAAATAGGATACCATATACAGAAAGAGATGTTAAGGAATTTCATGAAGTAACTACTAAGATGTTAGAAAATGGTATTATAAAACTGAGTACAAACCCACATAGTGCACCAGCATTCTATGTAGAAAATCATAATGAATTAAAAAGAGGAAAACGAAGAATGGTTATAAATTACAAAGAAATGAATAAAGCTACTAAAGGAGATGCATATAAGTTGCCAAGACAAGATTATATTTCCAGTCGAATTAAAAAGGCAAACTGGTATAGTACATTAGATGCTAAATCAGGATATTGGCAATTAAGGTTACATGAAGAAACTAAACCCTTAACAGCATTTAGTTGTCCACCTCAAAACCACTATGAATATAATGTAATGCCATTTGGACTTGAACAAGCACCTAGCATATATCAACGATTTATGGATAATAATCTTAGGGGATTAGAATCAATAAGTCTTGCCTATATAGATGACATAATTATTTTTACGCAAGGATCAAAAAGAAGATCATCTAAAAGAAGTTGCAAAAGTTTTATTACAGTTAGGTAATAAAGGAATTATTTTAAGTAAGGAAAAAGCAAAAATTTGTAAAACAGAAACAGAATTTTTGGGAATGAAAATAGTCGAGGGAGGCTATATCGAACCTCAAAAACATTTACTTGAAAAAATACATCAGTTTCCAGATCAGCTTCAAAACAGAAATCAAAATCAAAAATTTCTTGGATGTTTAACATATATTGGAGAAAAAGGTTTTATAAAAAGTCTTGCAAAAGAAAGAGAGTTACTACAAAAAATGATTTCAGAAAAAGTACCATGGAAATGGACAGACAATGCAACTAGAGCAGTACAGTCCTTAAAAAGACTGTACTCAATTACCACGGCTTTACCTACCAAATCCTAGTGATTTACTTATTTTAAACACTGATGCAAGTCAAGATACTTGGGGAGCAGTTCTTCAAGCAATCCCAGACGCATATGAAGAGTTTAATAAGTTTATTGCAAACAACAAACCATCTGAAGTTAAAACATTTATACGAAGGATGACTAAGGATATTTTGGATGAAAATAGTGAATCTAATGATTCTATGCAAATAGTATTGGGTAAAACCAATAGAAAGCAATTACTGTTATCCAAATGGGTATCGGGAACGTTTAAGCAAGCAGAACGCAACTATACAGCACATGAAAAAGAAACATTATCTTTTATAAATGCTTTGGAAAAATTTAAACTTGATTTACAACCAGTTAAATTCATTTTTCAAACTGATAGTTTATATACAAAAGATTTTACAAAATATCGAATAAAAGAATCTTACAACAAAGGCAGACTTTTAAGATGGAGCCTAAAAGCACAACAGTTTGATTACATATCTGTATATATTTCAGGAAAAGAAAACTATTTAGCAGATACATTAACCCGAGAATGGAAGCACTCAGACCAGTCTTAGAAGATAGTCTAAAAATGCTGGAAAAGCAGGTAGAAGAGCTCTTTGAGCAGATAAAGAAAAAAGAAAAAGAAATCAGCAAGATAAAAGCCATACTATTTGAAGAAAAAGGCAAAGAAGAAAAGAAAAATGAAAAGGCAGAAACATCAGAGGGAAAAGATACTTAATAAATATTTGGATACACTAATAAAAATACAATTTGATATTCCAGAAATAATTAAGAAAGAAATCTGCATCATACTACAGAAGGAATTCGCAGAAGATCACATTTGTAAATTATGCAACCCTGAAGCACAAGGAGAATTCGAACCTATCCAGGAATGAGGTAAGCACTTACATCAGAAGACAAATAATGCAGATAGTGGAGGATCCACCTCCTTTTGAAAGAATTGTCCATTTGTAATAATAGAGTAGATAGTGGAAGAAAAAGACCGGCACTATGTAGATAGTGGAAGAAAAAGTCATGCACTATGTAATAGGTGGTTAGGTAATGGAGGAAATTCTGGACAGATGCACTATGTAATGGGATGGTGAGTCACCACCCACTTTATCTTTACACCCACTCCACTAAGGACTTGAGAGGCAAGATGTCGGCCATGTGAGGCCTTATGTAAATCTCTCGCCTATAAATAAGTGTCTCAAATTTCATTTGAGGACACAGCAATTCGAAATAAAATTACTTCTTAAGATACTCTTTCTCTCTCAAAAAGTTTTCATGCTTTCATAAATAATGAGTTTCTAAATACTTAGTAGATATAACAAGAAAGATTAAAAGGTGTTAGTTGACTGAGCAATAGTTTCTCTGGAGCACTGAAAGTTCTGTGAAAAGGCCGAAGCTGGTATGCATCAAGGCTATTAAGTCCAGAATTGTGTTGAGAACAGGCGGAATCAGGTAACTCTCTTAAATCGAGTACTCTTATATCTATCTTGTTAAAAATTGTTATTGATTTCTTAAGTTTCCCATGGATATAAATGATTTTTGGTATATGCCATATAGAGAAATATATAAGGATATAAATCGTCTCAAATTAGTAATAGAACAAATTGTTTCATTAACAAAAATGTTAAACGAAAATGAACAAATGTTATTCAACCTAGTAAAAATTTATGTACCTAAAGAACGTTCAGTAGAAGACGAAGTTCATTTCCGAATATGCGATAATATTACTTCTTCAAATAACAGGATTAGAGAGTTAATAAAGAAAGTTGAATGCCAAGCATCTAGTCTAAGTGTTCAAATAAGATTAAGAATTCTAAATATAAGATAATAAAAGATAAATAATAGATAACGAATATCATGTTATAGGAAATATAGAAGAACAAGGAATTTATTTATCAGATATATTATTAGATAAGAAGGTAGTAACAAAAGTAAAAAATAAAGGAAATTTAGATTTAGAAAAGAAAGATGGAATAAATAATAGTATATTAGAAAAATTAAATAGAAAAAACATAATACATTATGGAATAAAGAATGGAGAACAACTGATTAGAATAGAACAAGCAAATTATAATTTTCAAGCACCCTTAGTTGAAATAAATCAAATAGAAAAGAGATTAGAAAAAATAAAAGAAGAAGATAGGAAAAAGATAAGTTATCTACACATAAACACAGTACAAATAGTATTACGATCAACATTTAGAGAAGGAATAAAGACACCCGTGAATATAGAAGTTGAAGATAATAGAATCATGCATAAAGAATCAAGAAAGCTAGGAGAAATAGAAGAAGATTTAGGATATGGAGTAATTAAATTTAACATATCATTACAATTCCCTATACCATTATCAACCAAGAAAATTAATAACTGCATAGGAATAATATGTAATTTTCAAGAAAAAACATTAATGGAATCAGGAGATATACCTATGGTTGTTTGCTATAGAATAACTTATGCATTAAGTAATAGTAGTTTAAGTATGAATTATTAAAATCAAGAAAGAATATATACAGAAAAAATATTTAATGAAACCAGTACCATTATTAAAAATGATAGAATCCAAAAAGAATTTCTAAGAGAACATAGTAGACGATCATTTAGTAATCCTATAAATTTAGGAAAACTAACTGAAAATAATTTATTAAAAAATCAAGATATTGAAGAACCTCATAGTAGCAATAGTTATATAAAGGAGATATAGAAATAGAAAAGTTAAATAAACAGGTAAATGAGTTAAGCTCATTAGTAGTAAATTTGAATAATAAAATATAGAATGAATAAGAAAGATATAAATCTTGGATTAAATGAGTTAAAACGAAGGGAAATCAAAGAAATAGACTATTTAATAGAAAAATCGATTCAATGTACATATATAGAAAAAGATGAACAAAAATTAAAACAAATAGCATATGATATTCAAAAATATAAACAAAAATTTAAGAAATTACATAAAATAGGACCACCTAAAATAATAATATAAATGTCTTCGAAGAAAGGAGTATATAAAATTAGACCAGAGAAAATATCTAAAAGAAAAACAAGTTTTTCAGAAACACAAAGATTAAAAGAATTTCTTTCTATCTGTAGAACTCAATTAGATTGTAAATTTAAATGTTCCGAAAAGAAAAGTATTATTAGAAATAATTTTACTAGATTAATAGACTTTTTAAATAAAGATATTAAGAAACATATAGAAGAATATAAAGAAGAACCTGATACTAATCAGCTTATTCCTGAAAAACTAGAAAGAATAGAAAATAAAATGAAAACATTAGAAGAAAAAGATACTACTAAATCTTTAGGGGATTGGATTAATTTATAAATAATATTTTACAAATGATATTTTTCAAAAAGAATTTAAAAATGTTTAGAAATAAAAAGTGGGATAAAAATGGTATCAGAGCCTGGTAGCAGGTAAAATACTTAACTAAAAAAAAATGCCACAAATAGATTGGCTAAATGCATTTTTAGCAAGACAAAAAACACTTGAAAAGAAAATTGCAAATACAGTACTACATTCTGAAATACACGAAAAACACATAAAATATTGGACAGACAAACTTGAATGTATAAATTTAGCTATCCAACTTTTAGAAACAAACAATAGAACTTATTCAAGATCAGAAGAACAATTCTTTGAAAAATGTTTAGATCCTTGGAGATACAAAGGATAAAGAAACATAAGATAAAAATGAGTACAATAAAAATTTATTTGGACATAGAATGGGAAATTCAAAATATAAAAACAGATATAATAAGATATGCTTATTTACATGATATTACAAGTGATGAATTTTATTATGACATGATAATGATATGTGAAAAACAATTAAAAAGATTAAGAAATCTACAAACGCAAGTAACTGTTACATAAACTGGTATATAAAAAATACTACATTTACACTAAATAATTACCCTTAACAGTAAATGGAAAAAAGGCTAATAGCATTAAAAATGCTAAAGGCACTCCAATGGGTGCCACCCGCGAATGAACCCAAAAAGTGCCCTTTCTCTGCAACTACTCTACTACAAAAGGAAAAATAAAAAATGCTATGTTCACATCAAATTGTTGAACTTGTTCATAAAACCAGCTTCTTCTTTACACTTAGCATTTAGCAACACCAAAAATCTAGAGAGAGAAAGAAAGTGTGTGTGTGGGAGAGAGAGAGAGCGAGCCTGACATGGCTTCCTACGCTGCTGTAATTTCTCTTAAACAGACAATTGACCGTTTTCTGAAGTCATCGCGTGCTTCGATTCCTCCCCACACTCGAAAAATCCTAAAAGCAGTTTACAAGGAGGTGCAGTCCGTGCAACAAGTCCTGACAAGGCTGGATATCCATGGCGGCAGCAGACGCAGCGAGAGCTTGTCAGTGTTTGATGCACAACTCACAGAGGCGATTCGTCAAACACAAGACGTGCTCGAACTCCACGCCTCCAATCAATCCGAGAAATCTTCCCTCGACCTGCGTGAGCTGAAACAGGATATTGATGCCCTGATCTGGATGATGCAAAACACGAGGAAGGACTACAGTAGAGAATTTAGCAGCCTTTTGACTCAAGAAGATGACGGTGACTATGTTTTGTCAAGAACCAATTTTCTTGGGTATGAGTCGAAAATGGTTGGGTTATCAGACGAATTTGACCATCTCAGAGAGAAAGTTGTAAGACGGATTTCAGTAGAGGTAGACCATCAACATTTCTTGTTATCTGGGATGGCCGGCATCGGCAAGACCACCCTGGCAAAGAGAATCTTCCAAGTCCCGTCAGTTTCAAACCAGTTCGACCTTCGCCTGTGGGTCCCCATTGGCTCTAGATACCGGTTAGAAGAAATCTTGAGGTGTATCATGGGTCAAGTGAGTGGTGACCGCGAAACTCTTCCAGAGAGGGGATTGGCCGAGTTTGTTTCTGGAAAACTAAAAAGCAAGTCATACCTTGTGGTGTTGGATGATATAAAAGTGCATCAGGTTTGGTATGAGTTGAAAAAGTTGTTCCCAGACAACAAGAATGGGAGCCAGGTCCTGGTAACAACCACTACTGGAAAAATCATTCTTTCATCATGAGAGACTTCGCCTGCTCAATTCCGAGGAGAGCTGGTGCCTTCTTCGCGAGAGGGTGTTGAGAAGATTGCCAAGAATTGTGAGGGCCTTACGCTCACAATACTCACAGTCGCTAATTCATAGCCGGTCAAAGAAATGCAGAGTATTGGACTGATGTAGCAGAAAACCGCTTTTCCAATATGGATATGCATGTTAGTACCCAATCTCACAACCTAAGACTGCTTTTCCAACGGCCGACGACCGCGGACGCCACTGGCTTGGTCGCGATTCGCTTGCGGCATTACCTCTTGCGGCCGCGCGCGGCCGTTCATGTCGCGGCCGCTGTGCGCAGCCGTTCGCCGGTCGNTAATTACTATAAATTATAATATAAAATATAATTAATTATAATATGAAAAAACTTATATTAGTATAAATTATTAAATTAGTATATATTATATATTTTATAATAGTAATTAGTATAATTATTATAACTTATAATAGTAATTACTAATATATAATATAATTATACTAATATAACTAATATAATTTATTATAACTAATATAATTTCATATAAATTATATTATAAGTAATATAATTTATTATGATTATACTAACATAGTAATTAGTATAGTTACTAGTATTATATTACTAATAATTATAATAATCACTAGATTAGAATTGATTATCTTAAAAAATAAAATTTATTGATATTATGCTAGAAGTTATAATTGATTATTTGATAGTGTTGATGAAGCTATCGAATGGGCAAAAGATATTGCAATCATATGGGGTTTCTCATTGGTCATCTCGAGACACGAAAAAGAAGGAAAGAATAGGTTGTTGAGGTGTGATCGGGGAGAACGTTATAGAAGCCGTGCAGTAAAGGTACTTAATGCTATTATGAGAAAATCGAAAACTAAATCGACCAACTGCCTTTTTCAGTTAAGAGTCAAATTTGATTCTCAATCAAAAAAATGGTATATCTCGGTTCCTTTAGATGATGAGAAGGGAAAGCATAATCATGCGTTGGCTGTTAATCCCGAGGGTCATCGACAGATGAGCGGGCTTAGCGATCCGTCCAAAAAGATTGTCCGTGATATGACTTCTGCTCAGGCAAGACCGGCAGCAATTTTGGCTGCGATTCAGGAGCAAAACCCTGTAGACAACGCTACTTGTAAACAAGTGTACAATTATAAATCTAAAGTGCGGAAAGATAATTTGCAGGGTAGAGATGTGGCTGACCAACTTCTGAATTTGGCTAAGGCCAACAACTATATACATTACGTAGATGTTGATCCAGACACACAGGCGTTGACACGTGTCTTCATGTTGCATCCTCAATCAGCCAGTCTGTTCCGGACATATTACTGGTATAGACTCCACGTATAAAACCAACAGGTATGTTATGTTACTTTATAAATACCAATTTAATGTGAATATTAATTAGTATGTTTGAATACGTTTTTTGATTCTATGTTGCTTTCATTTTTACAGGTACAAGATGCCATTGGTGGAAATGATTGGAATGACGCCGTGCAACAAGAACTTCTTAATTGCCTATGAAATTATCAAGGACGAGACCGAGTACAGCTATAACTGGGTCCTACAGCGGTTGAGACTTCTGTTACCTCCTGATGTACATCCTACAGCCATTATCACTGACAGGGAGTTGGGTTTGATTACTCCTATTCGGATGAATTTCCCTGAGTCGGCCCACTTACTTTGCACGTGGCACATCAACAAGGATGTGGAAGACATGGTGTATCGACTAGCAAAAAATAATAAGCACTTCGCTCAGAAGTTTACACACGACAAGTGGAAGAAGGTTGTCGAGGTGAGCACGTTGGAGAAGTACCAAACTGCCGTAGATGATTTGAAGGCTACATACGTACAATTTTCTGATGAGCTACGCTATGTGGAGCAGACCTGGTTAGTCCACAAGGAGAAGTTTGTGAAAGTGTGGACGAATACATTTTTACATTTCGGCAACACAACGTCATGTAGGGTGGAGAGTGCCCACGCTACGTTGAAGCGGTGGTTGAACACGTCGACCGGTTCGCTCGACACGGTGTGGGAGAAGATTCACAAGGAGATTGAGTCTCAAATGACACAAGTCAGGTATATTCCTTAAGTTATACATATTTACTGTGTTATTATTACGTTCTTTATTTGGTTCTAATGTTATGTAATGTATTACCAGGGACACGCTGGAGTCTTCGAGACTTAAGATGCATACGGGTTACGAAGAACCCATTTTTGCACCGTTGAGATTGCGGGTCTCGCATTACTGTATGGATTTATTGAATTATGAGCTTAAGAGGATGCGAGAGTTGAGCGAAGAAATTGCCGATCGCTGCGGATGTGTACTCTGGTACACTCATGGACTTCCTTGTGCCTGTGAGCTAAGGAAGGCACTCACTATAGATATGGAAATTACTACCCATTTCATCCACAGGTTCTGGTGCACACTAGAGCTGACGGAGCCAGGTACAATTACGAGATTGATTAATTTATAGAACTTATCCTAACACCATTTACAGAATATAGAGTGTGTTGTTTAATTTTATAAATTATTTTTACGAACAGGTCAACAGAGTGCATCGGCGAGTGGATGGACTGATCGTGACTATTTTTATCGACTTTTTGTGGAGCTTGAAGCAGCCGATCCCGCAACGTTGCGGTACGTGAACCAGTTCATCGACTCTCAACTTCACCCTGACCAACAAGGTTACAAAGAACCTGCAGTGAAGGATAATCCGAGAGGTCGGCCCAAGAAGCTGAATTCAACAAAGCGTGATCCATCGAAATGGGAGTACAGTCAAAGACGTCGTAAAAGCACTTTCTCGTGTGCTCCATCGCAATCGGAGTACATCGAAACAGGTCGCCGGGTGGGGCGTAAAAGCACTTCTTCCTGTGCTCCATCGGTATGGGATTACAGGGAAAGAGGTTGTCCGGTGGGGCGTAACAGCAGTTCTTTGTGTGCACCGACAAGCTCGTCTTCTCAACATTCAGATGAGCCGACGTGTGATTTTTTTTCTTATTTATTTGTTTATTTGAACGATAACTAATTATGTTTGTAAGTTCGATTATCTAATTTGTGACGTGAAATTATTATGATATTACAGATACTTTCTCGACGATTTTCTACGAATATCCGCATTATTGGAGAATTCCCTACGTAATTCACCCTTACGTAGAGAGCTATCTGGATGTGACACCGGATGGGAACTGCGGATTTCGGGTGGTTGCGAGTTACATGTATAGGAACCAGAGGATGTGGCCAGTGGTAAGAAGGAACGTTGTAAATGAGATTGCAGCCAACAGACAGTTGGACGATCCTGTGTTTTACCATGAAACCGACAGAGCACTCGATCGGATAAGATGGGAGAGGGGGCCTTGTGGCGAGGAGCATTGGATGGAAGTTGTAGGCGACTTCTTTGCTATTGCTACACTATTTAATGTAGTTGTCGTGTTGTTAGGCAGTGGTGACAGAAATGACAATATCGAACTTAATAGTATGACATTTTTGCCGCTGCGCTCAACATCCACGGCTACAAGACCTGACCGCGAGATCGCCATAGGTCATATTGGTTCTTACAAACATTTCATTCGTCTGAATCTGTCATCTGATTGTCCATTACCGCCTATGTGTAACCTTTGGCGGACATTCCGAGATGTGACGGTTGCAGGATGGGATGATCAGTATCAGACAAGGATCGAGTATTGGCGGGATATTCGTAGAGGACCTGGAGTTTGATATATTATGATATTCGACTTATGTTTGTTGCGATTAATGACATTCATTATATTAATCTGCATTATGAGCGATATATTGTGATATTATGAAATTTTTGGGTTGGAATGTGGTATAACATTTGGAAATAGATGGAAATAAAATGAAGTAACAACAAGTAAAATAAAAAAAGAAAAAAAATAATTCAAATAACGTTCAATCGTACAACAAAATCCAAAATAAAATAAAATAAAATAAAACATTTATTACATCAATGTTGCGCCCTTTTTCAATCTGCCTTAATTAGGGCCAGCGTATCTGCATGACGCGCCGCCATAGCAGGATCAACAATCTCGCAATCCCACAGGAGGTCTGATGATGTGGAGAATAACCGATGCACCCACTACACATAAAAGGAGAAGTAAAAATATTATCACATATATATTAAAAAACGACTTACTATTATAATGAAAGCACAATAACTAAAATTTCGTAAACGACTTACATAATCAGTGTTAGCGCGCGTAGGGACGGCATCGTAGTCCGGCTGACTGTCAGGCAAGAGTCTAGGATGAGAAAACCGATCATACCATTACTGGTACTGCTCATGGGCCTCCCCTGGATCATCCACGGTGGTCGGTGTACAGTGAGTCAAGTTTACATAATGCAGCTGCGGGAACTGGTCCCAGTGATCTACTGCAGTAGTATCAGCATGCTCAACCCTGTACAACCTACCATTCCAGGCACGGACTGCCATGATCGGATGATCTATGTGGGGAGGGACAGTCTGCACGTAGCCTAACTGACGCAACCAGCGCAAAGGCATGTACGGCTCCACAATATCCCGGTACCTAAGGCATCCGGAATAAAGGGTCCTAGCTCAATGTCATGTGGCCGGCGGTCGTAGGCAGCCAGTTCACCTGTTCACAATTGAATAAAAACATTTATTGAAACAATTCGATTATTCCAAATAACTTTCAACTAAATGTAAATAAAATAACTTAACGTACCTCCGCAGCGGTAAGAATGTCAAGCTGCCTACGGAAAGCTTTGAGGCGCGCATCTGACTTCTCTGTCACCGCCACGCTCCACAAGCCTGATCAGGCAACACAGTCAGGCTCGGGGGTCAAACGCGCTCGCTGGGGTCGGAAGGTGGGGAAGTGCTCGTATATCCAGGACTGCATGAGTGTCAAGCATCCAAACACTCCCTGTGAGTCCCCCCTGCTGGCAATACCTAACTATCTGTACAGGTACGCCAGCACAGCCGAGCCCCAAGAGTAAGTCCCAACT